GGCACTTCTACTTCATAAGACCTCTTTAAAGTCTTCAAGAGCATAGACGTTAAGTTTGAGGTACACCTGACCCAAGCAATGGCATTTGCAATCGCCTAATATGCATGCGAAAGTTGGACAATACAGAAAACAGTAGAAAAATTGAAACATTTGATTTATAGTGTTTGGGAATAATATTCAAAGTGCCATGGAATGCCAAAAGAGCAAACAAATCTGTGTTGAAAAAAGTACAACCAGAATGTTCTTTAGAAGCCAGATTTCATCTCTCAGACTTCAAACACATTATCAAGAAGGACCAGTCCCTGGGAAGAGAATACCTTGTTTGGTAAATGGAAGGGTCAGCAAAAAAGAGGAAGACTCCCAACAAGATGGACTGGCATAGAAAGCAAGAATGGGCTTAAGGGTTAACAACAATTGTGACATGGTACAGAATTGGGCAGTGTTTTGTTTTATTATGCAAAGGGTCTTTGAGTCAGAACTGACTCATAATTATACATTAAATATATAAAGTTGTAAAATTATTTTATCTGTAGACAAGTTTATAAACAGATAGAGCTATGTAAGAATTCTATCTAAAATGTTCTGTTATGATAAAAATAAAGCAATTGAAACCAAACAATAGTTAATTTAACTAGTAAAGAATGTCTGCCTTGACTATTGTGCTCTTTTAAGTTCTATCTATAGGGGACCAAATTGACAACAGAAAATTGAAATATTAGATAGGAAAAACTTAGGGTCAGTGAGCTTATGGTAATATGGGAAGAATAACCTGGAAAAGGGAGGGTGAGAATGGTTGAGTACATCAACGAATATAATAAATACATAGCTACCAGCTGTTCCATGGGAGAGAGATGAGGCTTTCTGTTCCCATACAGACTTTTAGCCTCAGAAACCCTGTACAGGGTCGCTATGAGTTGGAACCGACTCCATGGTACATAAACAACCAACCCACCCAGGAGTCCTGGTGTGGCGCTGTGGGCTAATGTGTCAGACTGCAAAGTCATTTGAACTCAAGGTCGGTGGTTCAAGCTCACCAGGTCTCCTTGGAAACCCTGTACAGCACTTAGCAACAACAACATCTACCAGGATCCATTAAAGTGGACATACATCAATTTTGAAAACAAAACAAACACATAATGTCAATTCAATCATGAGGAAATATCAGACAAACCGAAACTACAAGTTAACAGGTTTGTAAACTTAAAGGAGACAAGACAACTAAAGACAAAATGTAAGCCAAGATTGGACGTTGGACCAGAAAAAGGACACAAGAGATAACTAGAAAATTTTGAACAGGTCTGCAGAATGGATAATAATGTCATATCAATGTTAATATGCTGGCTTTTAAAAACTGTATTGCTATATACAATCTGGTGAAGACTATGTATTATTTTTGTAAATGTTGTTAGAAGCAAAGAAATACTTCAAAAAGAAGCTTAAAAACAAAACCAAACACACCTCACAACTGAGTAATATACACAGAATTGTAAATATATATTTGTTGTTGCTATTAAATGTCATCAATTCAGTTTCAACTCATGGAAACCCCGTGTAGGGTTGGTTTCCAAGGAGCGACTGGTGGGTTTGAACCACCAACGTGTGGCTAGCAGTCCAGTTCCAGTACCACACGAGGACTCTAAATACATACTTGGCACATAGAAACTATATTAATGCTAATCTCACCACACTTAGCATTAATATAATTTCCCAAGTTTATTAAACATCCTGAGTTTTTCTGAGTCTTTCATCAGTAAATGTTTTTTTTTCATCTACAATGAACCAATTTATAGAAAAGGATGGAAGAAAATAGGAAAGCAAGCATACGAAACAGTCAGTTGTTCTTTCACTAATAGATACACACAACAAGGCTAAGATTGGTTATTTCAAATATGTTCACGACCACTTGTGTTGTATCTTCTCCCTCTTTACAACAGGGCAATTCCAAGTCCTCAGTAATTCTTGACTCGTGGTGACCCTGTATAGGATTTCCAACGAGCAGCTAGTGGGTTTGAACCACCAACCTTGCAGTTATCGGTCCAGTGTTTGTCCTACAGCGTCACACCAGGACTACATGCATTAGGGGACTTCAGAATTGGTGGAACAATGGAATTAAAACATAATGGAATTTTTACAAAAACTTACTGAAACCCCTCGGAGTCTAAAAACACAGATTAAATCTCAGATATGTGACTAAATTCATAACTTAATCTGATTCTTCCCATTAATTTGTTCAAATTGGATAGCTTTAACCAACTTTCTAGCATTATGAAGATTAGATGGGAATGCAAAAAACAAAGAGCAGCACTGCCATACTCAAAAATTTTAATTTTCCCTTGCAAATTATAATCTCTCATGTCTGTATGATCCTAAGTGTAACAATTGTTTTGCTAATTTCCATATCAATATCGGTTGTTTTTACCAGGGAAGCTATTTCATACTTTTTACACCTACAGATTTTTTATATTAAATACACATAATATTTGACTTCATTAATTCTATCTACTTCAGTACTCAATAAAAATACACATTAACGTCCCTCTCTTTTATATGAGATGAGTATTTTCAACAGCATTTCCAAACATTACCTAAATACTGCATCATGTCAACCTCAAGAGCCAATATCATGCTCTATGTTGCAATCTATGTAGCCTTTAGACATTTCCTTCTACTTTGGAAACCTGGGCCACCCTTAAAATGTAGTCAATCCAGTGGATATATTTAATTTCCAAATTCCAATCCTTAATATAACATAAAGAAAATAAAAATTCTCACAACTAAAAATGAACATCTTGATAAATGGAGAAAATATTGATGCTGCCAAGTATTTAACTTTATTTCGATCTACAATGAACATCCATGGAAGCAACAGCCAAAAAAATCAAATGATGTACTTGCATTGGGAACATCTGCAAAAAACTTCTGTAAAGTGTTATAATGCAATGACATCACTTTGAGGACCAAGGTGTGATACAAGCCATGTATTTTCAATTGCTTCATAGGCATGCAAAAGATGGGCAATGAATAAAAAAGGCTGAAGTTGGGCTTAAACCTTTGTATTATGGTGTTGGCAAAGAATATTAAATATCCAAGGAGCTCTGGTAGCATAGTGGTTACGAATCAGGCTGCAAACCTCAGGGTCAGCAACTTGAAACTACCAGCTGTTCCGCAGGAGAAAGATGAGGCTTTCTGCTCCTGTAAAGATTTACAGCCTTGGAAACCCTGTTCATGATCGCTATAAGTTGGAACCGACTCCACAGCACATAACAACAACAACAATGGTGTGCCATCAGAAAAAAGTACAGCCAGAATGCTCCTTAAAATCAAGATGTTGCAAGTTTTGTCTTGGGTACATTAGACTATTATTAGAAGAACCAGTCTCTTGAGAAGGGATGCTTGATAAAGAGGGTAGTGAAAAAAAGGAAGAGCCTCAGTCAGATGGATTGATACAAGGGTTCAAACAGAAGCAATGATTCTGGGTTTGGCACAAGACCTATAATGTTCTATTCTGTTGTACATGGGTGGTGGTGGTAGCATTAGGTTTTTGAGGCTATATATCTTTAGAGGAACAGAAAGCTTCATCTTTCTCCTGAGGAGGGCTGGTGGATTCAAAATGCTGACCTTGTGGTTAACAGTTCAACACTTAAGTCACTACGCTACCAGGCTTTCTTTGTTGTACATAGGGTAGCCATGAATTGGAACCAGCTCATCAGTACCTAACAACAACAACAAATGGCTCCATTTATAGATGTTATGGAGTCCTGGTGTGGCACTGCGGGCTAATGCGTCAAATGCAAAGTCGTCTGAACTGTAAGGTCAGTGGTTCAAGCTCACCAGCTGCTACTTAGAAACACTATACAGGGTCGCTATAGGTTGGAATTGACTCAATGGCACTTAACAACAACAACATAGATGTTATGGCTGAGTCTGAAGAAATATGCCTAAGACAGGTAGTATATGTCCAATGAAGAAAATTAGTTTCCCCAAAGCTAACTGAATTGCCAAGTGGAAATATTCTAAGTGGCAAACCAATGAAACACTGTAAAGTAAAGCAAAAAAAAAGTAAAAGAAGCAGACTGAAGAGTGGAGGGTACTATGGCATTGTTACATTAAAGAATCCAGAAGATAATAAAGGCAGTAACAGCCAAGTACAGTGTGACATCACCACACTATTGAGAAGTAGCAGTATTTAACAAACTAAAATACAGACCAATCATTTTATTTTAGCAGTCCATAAATAACGCCAAAGATATGAATTATGCTGATGACCGTGGAAATGAAAAAGAATGAAATTCATTATGAGGGAAGACTTGGCAGAATTTGGCCAATGATTGAAATGAGAAGTATACAAGGGAGAAAACAAGGAATCAGCATGCTTCCAAAGCTTTAAAACTAGAAACAGAAATATCATGAATATGAACATAAGACAGCAAACACTACTAAAAATGTTTCCAACAATTGGAATAATGTTTGTAATCATTAACACAAAGCAATAAAGCAATAGAAATACCAAGGTACCTTTTACAACGGAACATAAACAGCATTCATTTAGAATAAGAATATATGAGTTTGACATTACATGCCCAGATAATGTAAAGAAAGATACTAAAATACAAGCCAGTTCATCATTAATTTGTATGAATTAGTAACTGCTTGATTCACAGCCCTATTAGTGTTCTTTCTGCATTACAAATGACTCCCATTACTTGAATTACCATACAATTTATACTAAAATAAACAGAACAGTTTGATTCCTATTTGATTATTCTGCCTAGTGAACTATATAAACAAAGCAAGGTATGTTGGAATTTAGATTTCTAAATAGACTAATCAAGAGAATAGAACAGCTTAAATTGCAATACCCTTTTAAAATAAATATGAAACCAAACACATCCTTTTCTTAACCATTCCTCTAACAAACGAATCCTTTTAAAATTCAATTAAAAAAAAAACAAACCTTAAACTACCACACCAGAGTAAAGTTTCACAAATCTTTTGGTTACCTTTACTTTTTCTCTTCTCAAGCAACAAAATAGACAATTTTCATCAAAATTCCAATCAGAAATGGTTTCAGGTTCACAGTCTGCAAAATAATTGAAATAAATAGTTGTACAAAATAATTTTCAGAAAAGCAAAACTAACATAAAAAATATTGCTTGCTTTAATAACAAGAGAAATCACACTAAGTGGTGGTGGTTGTATGCCAGGGAGTTAATTCCGAGGGTGTAAATCTTTATAGGAGCAGAAAACCTCATCTTTCTCCTATGGAGTGGCTCATAGATTCGAATTGCTGGTCTTGTGGTTAGCAGCCCAACTCGTATTCCACTACGTAACCTACTCCTTACTAAGTGGTATAGAGTACATAATTGTCTTTTAAAATTCTTAGTTGTTAAATGCTCACTGTTGTTAAGTGCCATCGAGTCAGTTCCAACTCATAGCAACCCTACCTAGAGTTTCCGAGAACTGGCTAATAGGTTTAAGCCACTGACCTTGTGGTTAGAAGTCCAGTGCTTATCTACAGTGTCTCACCAATAATTTCTTTCCAACTACACACAAAATTATTATTACATGGATACAGTTTTAACCCACATGAACAGAGAATAAAAGAAAGGAAGAGGAGACTGAGGCTTAAATCATCAATAATCATAGAGGTAATTCCCATGTTTCAAACTTATTCAAAAACTTATAATAAACCAGCTCTTACAACTGAGGTTTTATTGTAATTGGCACATCTTATCATTAGCAATATACATACACACATAATTTGTTTATGTTAGCATTCTCAGGTGTTCACTTACAGATGTTCAATGCTATGATTTATAGGTATTAATAATAAAAGGCAACAATTAAAACATTTCTGAACTGAGGTACCTTACATCAGAACCAACTTGCAATGGAGTCATCAAAATAGAACCCCATTATAAGTTGGGGACTACCTGTATGTGTCATCAGGAAGAATTTGAAATATCATAAATAATTTGAATACCTTTAAATAAGCTGAGATCTTTTAATAATCCAGGTCCAAACAGCCCTTCAAAAATACTTTCAAACCCTGAAAGGATAAAAACAAAACTATTATCACAATAAATACACATTAGTAACTTACTATTAATCTGCTACACACACACAAACACAGAATAAAGGCGATTTTCTTCCAGTATTCAAGGACCCTTGGTTTACTGTTAAAGGGATGCCAAGAAAAGAGTGACAAAGTCAAATCTAAAAGGAACATTTGTATCTTTGTAAATGGTTAACTTTTAACACAAATTCTTAACACATACAAATATAAGACAAAACAGTTAACACTAGAAACAATTGAATGGAGTGGGAATTCATGAGTTCCCTTGCTGTTTTATAAAAACCTCTAAAACTTTGTTACATAACCTCACAAAGTCTAACTTAAATGGTACCGTCCCCAATAAAAGAGTCAAGCTGCCTCAAAATTTCTAACATTTTCTGGAATAATATTGCACTTTCTGAATATCAATTGATATCATGAATTTTTCAAGCTACTTTGTAACACAGTACATCAAACATTGCTGATCTACTTACTGGGGGGAAAAAATTTTTTTTTTTTTTTTTTTTTTAAAATACCAGGCTGTGTTCTACAGGGTATTAATGGAGTATGGAGGAAAATGAGAAAGAATCAAATGTACCTTTGAGCTGTATTCTCAAAGCAGAGTCGAACTTAATGAAGTGAATGGAGTAAAGATTTCACGTGACCGTCATCTGCTGATGTGGCACAACTCAAAATGAGAGAAAACAGCAGCAAGCATCCAATAACGTGGAATGTAAGCAGTATGAATCAAGCAAAATTGTAATTTGTCAAAAAAGAAATGGAATGCATACATATGTGCTGGTATGGCAGTATAGGATAAGCACTGGACTTCAGTTTGAGCAGTAAGGTCAGTGGTTCAAACTTACCAGATGCTCCTCAGAAACCCTATACAGTGGTCAATATGCGTTGTCTTAACTGACTCAACAGCACTTAACAGCAATAAATAAATGCTAGGCTTTAGTGAGCTGAAATGGACTGGTATTAGTCATCTTAACAAGGTCTATTATGCCAGGAATGACAAACTGAAAAGAAATGTCACATTCACTGTCAAAAAAACAGTTCAAGATCTAGTCTTAAGTACAATGCCGTTGCTATTACTAAGTGCCGCTGAGTCAGTTCTGACTCATAGTGACCCTGTATAGATAGGATTTCTTAAAAGCAGCTAGTGGATTTCAACTCCCGACCTTATGGTTAGCAGTCCAGTGCTCATTCTATACCATCACACCAAGACCTCATATACTTCAGCGTCATTTGATGGAATGTGCAGGAATCAAATAAACTACATCTGTGCAGAGAAGCCATAGAGAAACTCAGTATCAGAACAATGTCAAGGGCCAACTGTACAACAGACCACCAACTGCTTATATCAAGCTCAAATTGAAGCTGAAGAAACATAAAACAAGTTTACAACAGCCAGAGTATAACCCTGACATTAACTTAGAGACCATCTCAAGAATACATTTACTGTACTCATTTACTAATGTCCAAAGACAAGACAAGTTGAGGGATGACATCAAAGACATTATACATGAAGAACGCAAAAAGTAATTAAAGACAAAAAGAACAGACTAACATGGATGTGAAAAGAAACTCTGAAACTTGCTCTTGAACGCAAAAAAAGCTAGAGTGAAAGAAATGATGAAGCAAAAGAGTGAAACAGAAGATTTAAAAGAGTAGCTCAAGAAGAAACAAAGTATTACATCCTGGAGTTAAAAAAACAAAACGGAGGAAGAACAAACTTGGCATTTTTCATGTATGAAAAAACTCCAGCCTTGGGTTGCATTATTGAAGGATCCTATAGGCAAAATATTAAATGATGCAGGTAGCATCAGAAGAAGATGAAGGAATACACAGAAATCACTATACCCAAAATAATTGGTTGTCATTCAACCATTTTAAGAGGTATCATATGAATCAATGACCAAGAACCAATGGTACTGAAGGAAGAAGTCCAGGCTGCGTTGAACGCAATGGAGAAAATACAAGGTTCCAGTAAATGAGCCTCCACAAACAGAGATGTTTCAACAAACATGTAATGCAGGAAGTGACTTATCTATACCAAGAAATCTGGAAGACAGTTATATGCATGCCTATTCCAAATAAAGGTGATCTAACGGAATGTGGAAATCATTGAACAATATCATCAATACCACATGTAAATAAAATTATGCTGAAAATAATTTTTAAATGGTTACAGCTGTTACAAGTAACCAGAAATTCAAGCTAGATTCAGAAGAGGAAATGGAAAGACAGGTATCAATACTGATGTATGATGGATCTGGCTGAAAGAAGAGAATACCAGAGATGTTTATGAAAGTTTTATTGAGTGCGTAAAGGCACTGAACTGTGTGGATCAAAACAATTATGTATAACATTGCAAAGAATGGGTATTCCAGAACACTTAAATGGGTTCGTGCAGAACCTGTACATAGATCAAGAGGTGGTTGTTCAAACAGAACAAGTGTGGCTTAAAATCAGGAAAGCTGTGCATTAGGGTTGAATCCTTTACCATACTTATTCAATTTGTATGTGGAGCAAATAATGCAAGAAGTTGGACTGTATGAAGAACAATGCAGCATCAGGAGTGGAGAAAGACTCATTAATAACCTGTAATAATGCAGATGACACACCTTTTTGGTTGAAAGCAAAAAGGATGTGAAGTGCTTGCTGATGATCAAATATTATAGCCTTAAGTATGGATTACACCTTAACATAAAGGGGAATAAAATGCTGACAACTTGTTTATGGACTTCACTTACTTGGATCCACAACCATGGAAAAGCAACAGTCAAGCAAATGGGCAAATCTACTGCAAAAGACCTCTTGAAAGTGTATTTTCCAAAAAAAAAAAAAAAAAAGCAAAAATGTCACATTTAGAGCTAAGATGTGCCTGATCCAAACCATGGTATTCTCAACTTACTCATATGCACATAAAAGCTGGACAATAAATAAGGAAGACTAATAAGGAGCTCTGGTAGCGCAGTGGTTACGAATCGGGCTGCGATCCTCAAGGTCAGCAGTTCGAAACTACCGGCTGCTCCGCGGGAGAAAGAGGAGGCATTCTGCTCCTGTAAAGATTTACAGCCTCGGAAACCCTGTTCAGGGTCGCTATGGGTTGGAACCGACTCAATGGCACTTAACAACAACAACAATGAATTGATGCCTTTGAATTATGGTTGTTAGTATATACATGGGGAAGGGGGTGTGGAGCAAGGAAGGGGGGGGGGACTACTCACCTGAAAGCATGTTTTCGTTTTGCTTTTTTTTTTGCTATCAAATGCTAAAAATCACTCACGATTCAGTAAGGTAGAGAACCAATTTTAGTAATTTAAAATACTATAGTATACTAGATACATGGTAGTGTAGTGGTTACAAATCGGGCTGTGAACCACAAGGTCAACAGTTTGAAACTACCAGCTGTTCTGCAGGAGAAAGATGAGGCTTTCTGCTCCCATAAAGATTTACAGCCTTGAAAACCCCATACAAGGTCGCTATGAGTCAGAACCAACTCCACGGCATATCACCACCACCATCACCCCCACTAGATACATGAGGTCTACACACAAGTTTCATATCCTTACCATAATTTAAGGTTTGGTAGATAAGGGGTAACAAAGATAGTTCATGGAAACAGTATTTAATCCGGTTATAATGTTGTTGTTGTTCTGTGCCGTGGAGTGGGTTCCGACTAATAGCAACCCTGTACAGGGTTTCTGAGGCTGTAAATCTTTAAGGGAGCAGAAAGCCTTATCTTTCTCCCATGGAACAGCTGGTAGTTTCAAACTGCTGACCGTGAGATTAGCAGCCCGATTCGTAACCACTATGCTACCAGAGCTCCTTCTGGTTATAATAATATGTGGAAATTTTCTAGTCCATAGTATAAAATCCATCGTTTTTAGTAATGAAATCTCTACAGTTTCTATTATCTGCATTATAGTTAAGAGTTGACTTTTCTACACTCCCTGATTCAATTATTAAGGAATAATTGTTTGCAATTCTCCTGATTTCTTATTAAAATAAGTGTGGTGCTGTGGGCTAATTAATGCATCAGACTGTGAAGTCATTTGAACTGCAAGGTCAGTGGTTCAAGCTCACCAGCTGCTCCTTGGAAACCCTACACAGGTTCACTATGGATTGGAATCGACTCAATGGCACTTATCAACAACAGCAAGGACATTAGCAATATTAAACTACCTACCCAAACAAATAAGGAGCTCTGACAGCATAGTGGTTATGAGTCAGGCTGCTAATCTCAAGGTCAGTAGTTGAAAACTACCATCCGTTAGGCAAAAGAAAGATGAGATTTTCAGCATCTGTGAAGATTTACAGCCTCGGAAACCCTATTAAGGGCAGTTGTGAGTTGAAACCGACTCCATGGCACATTACCATCACCACCACGTAAGCAAATGGGAAGTATTTGTCTATTATTTACTTATGATAATCAAAGCATTTCTCACTATATTAGTATGGTATCATCTCTTTACACTATTCAAGAAAAAAGGTGAAGGTGTGGGTTTGGGGGTGCTAGATGGTGAAAAGAGAATGAGAAAGAATCACTTGTTGTTGTTGTTGTTGTTTTTGTTAAGTGCCATGGAGTCGGTTCTGACCCATAGCAACCCTGGACAGGGTTTCCGAGGAGCGGCTGGTGAGCTTGAACCGCCAACCCTGCAGTTCCAACGGATTTGCAGGCTGGCGCATTAACCCACAGCACCACACCAGGACTCCTAGACACTATTTATTTTTGCCTGGGAAACTAGGTCATTTCAGTAACATTCAACTTTTTTTTTTTGCTCTCTGTTTTAAACCACTGTTTTTCTATAACTCTTAAGCTGTCCTATCTCCAAAAAAGGTACTACTTTTAAAGGAGATTTTTCTGATTTCACAAATGTTAATGAAAATACTTAAGCATCTTTATAAGTGCCAAACACACAACTACAAAGAGTTATAAGAGATTAAAAGTGGTTCTTATTCTGAAGACCAAATCTGTTAATTTT